CAGTCGTACACAACCCCAGGTGGTACACCAGCCGAGGCTTGAGCCTGCGACCGGTTGGTTAGAAGGCCAACACCCTAACCGTTGATCTGCATACGCTAGTAGCCACTATGCTGCTGGTGGTAGCAGAGATCGAAAGAGCGGGACGAGTAAATTCCGTTAATGATCTGTTAGCCTGCATCAAAGGATGGAAATTTGTGTAAACATTGGTAAAAACAATTGTTAGCAAAATTCAAATACAACTTCATCCAGCAAGACCACGACAAACATTATGATAACTAAGACTTTGCATAACCAACAGCAGTGCCAATTGTCAGCAAAGTAAATATTATCTGGATTCCCGTCAGGACTTTATCCAGAAATACAATTACAGTTTCATACCTACACTATCGTTCAATCTGACATGCTCACTCTTAGAGATCGAGTGGGCTGCCATTTTTCGGAATTCTTGATATTGGCTTACTGATGAGTAATTTATAGTTACTTATTCCATGAAATGATACTTCTACATTACAGCCTGCGATTGCTCGCAGTGCTGAAAAAAATGTTTCCGCGGGTAAAACTGCGGAGATTACAATGATTAAACAGCGCCTTTATTATTATGGTATATTATTTATATAAATGACTATTACATAAGCTGTTACTATAATTAATTTGAGTTGCATAGAATCGTTTTCCCGGGTTGATTGAAAAATTCGTTGTGCGTCACTGGAAAAAGACTGACGTGCTACTAAACGAGACTATGGATTACTGAGCAGGCTTACGTGTTACAGTAAAGGGGCATTTACATATTCCAAATTTATTTGACTCGATTGTAAAAAATTCGGTGGCCTCTGTGGGATTCGAACCCACGCCAGCAAGTGAAGGCCTCAGTACAGTTAGCGCTCTGGCCAACTGAGCTACGAAGGCCCCATTGGGAGCCGTGAGTTTAATCCCACCCGCACAGCTTACCGCAAAGTACGGAAACCACAAATTCTAATACATTAAGCTGACTGCCCGAGTAAGATTTCCTAAGCAGCCAATCCACAATTCACCAGATGAATACCAGGTTTACCTAATTATTAGAAGGAGTTTGGCAGATTTGAATGATATATTTGACCAAATTATGAAATGATATATGTGACACAGAGCACGTAATTTTTGCACAACGTGTATCCTAAAAATGCTCAAATGTCCCCAAGGTTCGTTAAGGGCGACCATCTTGAAGGGAATGCGAACGTGGGTGAGTGATTTATTGCTTAAATAATAAAAAATTGATGAAAAAAGAAATGTAATTAAACTCTTGGCAAAAAAAATATGAATGCGTATGGATTGCAGTAATTTGGATGCAAGATGAATGTCGACCTTCCACTTCTGACAAGTAGTCGTCAGAATGCACCAAAAGCAACGATTATACTAAACACGCCCTCCATCCAGATGTGGGATGGCAGTCACCGATGGTAACATCGGTGCGCATATAGACAATCCTCTGATATCCGTCAATTTAGAGGCAACTGAGTCACAAGAATGGTCTAAAGTTAATCGAATCATACTGATAAACCTGCACCGACTCTTGGCTGTATGTTCACAGACAGAGATGAAGAAAATGAATTTTAGGTAGTCATTTCTGGTAGATATGTTGTAGATTAACATTGCCGGTAAAGAAAAGTGAGATTGGAATGGCCATTTCTGGCTGATGAGCCGGTCATATCGTACCACAATTGATGCACCACCTGAGTCTCTAACCTGCAGCTTGTTGCTCAGAAGCCCAACACCCTAACCATTGAGCGACAGGCTCGTTGTCTTCCTATTAAGTTAGGGAATACCAACATTCGTTGATGAATGCTCACCTATCGGTTACAGACGTCCCGCCTTCCGTTCTGCTTTCGGTCTGTTTCTGAAGCCCAGCCAACAGCCGCACATTGGTGGCAAAGGAGCTTTAAGTGACCATTAATGGCTCAACAGCAGTCGTCAGACAGTCTTAGTCAACCTCAGGTGGTGCAACACCCGAGGCTCGAAAGTGGCAGCTGATATTTCGCTGATTTGCTTGGAGTAGAGCTTCGTCAGTATGGTTGTGTTGTGCTTGACATCTCTGCTTATGTGGTATAGAGTTTCCGCTAACCATATGACAGGCCAGCGTACAAAAGCTATACACCTGTTTGTTAGTTGAGTCCAGTTGGAATATATGAGTGCCTGTGGCCCTAACCATCCACATGATGCAGTGTGATTCGAAGCATGGGGGGACAGCGTACACCACGTTTCGTGTAAGCACATGGAATTGAGTAGATTGGGTGTGAACGTAAGAAGGGTCGCGAATTCCTGGAGGCAATGCACTCAGATGAGGCATGCATAAACAGGCATATCGATCTTGATGTGAATTTCAAATCACTGAAGATCAGATGCAAGCAAAAGCAGCCACCGCCTACCACATGATCAAATACGGATGACAACTATCCCCCCCCGGGCCGCATAATCACATACAAGTGGCAATTATTCCCATTGCCTGCATAACCAAATGCGGATGATTATTATCCACTCACACTCTTACAGACTATATAATCCTGTGTTAGTCATCGGTTTAAGTTAACTATTTTTGTACATATCTCGCATGTCTGAAGACGAGCTGGAAAACCAGTTTCGAAAATTCACCTAATAAATATTTCTCTCTCCCAAAGGACTTTATCGCTCATTAAATATATATATATATTTACTTATATACCTACTCTATGTTATTAAATAGGCGTAGTTATGCTTATTACTGCATTCCAAAAAACGAAAATCTTTAGCCTCCTGTGGGTATTTTAGTTTTATTAGTTTAAGTTTAGTTTTTAGTTTATTGTGTAGTGTATAAGTTTAATGTTAGTTATAGTTTCAGTTAGCTTAATTTTTATTTTATTTAGTTTTTTAAGCAACGCACGGCTGCTTGTCAGCGTATCGTGCTACAATATCTGTCCAAATGTATGAGAAGCTATTGTGAGTTTTTTAAAATTGGGGAAAAGCCTATCTTTCATAGTTTTATTTTAATTTCTAAATTTCGATATAGGGTCGATATTGGTTTGTTTGCTGTTGCCTTAGCGCAGGTCTTGTTTCCTCTTGGTTGTATTTGTCATTTTAGTTATCGCGCGCAAATTTTTGGTTGTATAAAGAATTATTCCCTATTATTTTCTGCTTTTATACGCTAAACGTTTTAATTTATATTTTATTTCTTCTGATATGACCCAACTATAAAACCCCTAGTTGTATCGCTCCCGTAAGACAGAATGATGAAGCTAGCATTATCTAAGTACCTCGACATATTAGAATGTTGCCAATGAGCTGTTTGGGTTTCTCAGTCATTATGGTACCAACCATGACTACTGCCGATGAATGAGCAAGAGATAATCATGACGGCAGTGTGATAGCAAGGCAGCTATGCGTTAGTAAATACTGTATCAATATTTTACCTGTGCCTGTATATAATGCTGCGTTCGAGGGAGAGACTAAATCCACAAAAATCCCTTGTTCCGTTGGACGCACCAAATTCTTTTCAAATGCTTCCTGTAATTTGCATTTTATCCTGTATTCACTCTTACTGTTACCATGTTCACTATCGGTGAATCGAAAAGTTGAGTAATTAATGTACCCGTAACCATTTCGTGAAGTTAAATTTCACACTTAACGAGTAGACTACACTAACCAGTGAACTATTGCACCAAGGCACTCACTTGCAACATTAGCGAGAGTGAGCATGTTTGAAAGTTATGCAACTTTAAAGAAATTACATCTGGTAAATATCGCAGTCCATGGGCATAAATTAGCCTTTTTCTCATATAGAGTACTAATCGTGCTCAGAAGCCGTGATTCAACTACTTTTGGTAATCAGATGGTGAATACTGCTAAATTCAAATTCTTTGGGTGCTATTAAAAATAAAAAAGACAGACTTTTGGTGTCCTGAGAGTAATAGTTATTTACTCTAAACATTTCATATTCCTCAGCTTGTGGAACTTGCGGATTGCTCATACGACTACTTGGAACTTTTCGATGGTCCTCCGGATCCTTCATTCTTGATACACAAACTCTGGTGGCCTCGGATACCGGCCGCTATAGCGTCGACGTCAAAAAGATTGATCGGGAAACTCGTTGCTGAGAGTTGGACAAATGAGATACGATTCATGGCCAGCTTTAAAAAGGGTGAGTTTGTCTGTCCTGCCCCTTTTAGCCGTCATTTTAGCGCATTTGTTGCCTACTAAGCAGTTTTGGATTTCCTCTGCGCAAGCAACCCTAACAGTTGCTCACGCATCTAATCGAAGTGAAGGTTTCCTTCGTTTGTAATTCTACCAAGTAAAACTTCATATTTCAGTGCTTGTGTAAATCCAAGTAGACTATTAACTGAAGTGATTGCTCAAAACAAATATTTTTTTTCTAAATTCATCCCACAGTTTGTTGTTAGAGAAAAACAACATGTAAACTAGAGGAAATTTCTTCGACAAGTTATATTATTTCCATTTCTTTTCCTGCATATAGCTAAATGCGAGATATAATCCCCCTTGAAATATTTCATCGTAGTTCGCGACAAAAAATCAAATAAAGCTTTCCTAGCCACATTAGGGTATTAAAAAATATCAGCCACATGTATTTCCGGCTGGAGTTAAAACCGCTACCGCAACGAAACTATCCCGAGCCAGTGTCTAGGTAAATACAGGAAGGGTAGTTACGAGGGGTTCCATGGGGGAGGGAAGTATGCATAATTAGTAGGATCATTTGGAAAAAATGAAATTCTTACATATGAAGTATCTTGGTTAAGTACGCTAGGCCGATGTACGAAGCAGCATCAAATTTTAAAAATCGTGTGCCACAGTGAGATTGTCGCAAAATGCCTATAGAATCCATAACGACACTATGAGACAAATTTCGTGAAAATTGAGTGACAGGAAAATAGTTATTACTATTTATTAGTTATTCACGTATTACTTTATTTATTGATTACCAAGTCAACGGTTATTGAAACGTTAACCCTAACCGATAACATTAATGCTAACCCTTATCTAAACTCCTTAGCCTCAGAACATATCGCCAACAGCTCATAACCAAACCCCTAACCCTAACCCCGCACTCCTTTACTGTCAGTTTATTCTTTCACAAAAACAAACTTGTTTACCGAAACAATTTCAGTAGTAATGCTTAAAGTAATTGACTGTGTGCGACAGCAATTTAGGCCCCGCCGTAATTCCGGAAAAGTTTTCTCATATCTCAGATTCGGACATCTTAGAAATAACCCTTTGTATTTCCTTAATTTAGTTCAATTTTTTTCAAAAGCCCCACAGCTGCTTAAGCTTCCATAAAAATATTGCATAAATAGAATTGATTTGTTCCGTTGCCCAGAGATACTGTGCTGCAAGTTATCGAGCCAGATCAGCTAACACACTTCCGCTCAGTAAACCATCATGAATTATTCTGACTCGTTGCATTGCTAACCTGTAAAATGCTGGAAAGTGCATGGCAATACGTGTTGTTTTTGCCATCTTTGATATTCCAGTCCTTTACGAAGAGTTAGACGAATGCATTACTGATGATCCCGGCTGCGAGCACACCTGCGTTGGCTATACCAACGGTTACAAATGTCAGTACGATGAAAAGTTCGAGCTTCTGCTGGATGGAAAATCCTGCCAATGAAAGTTGCCCTTTCTTTTCCCTTGACCATTATTCCCCGATAGTGCATTGTCATTTCACCTTCTACGCCCGGTGGACGAACAGGTATCCATATACAGTACCTTGCCCTGTCTCCTGCAATGTCATCCGAAATTCTGAAATGTGCTTTCATTTCCAAACAATTACTTTAGTATAATTGTAATAGAGAATGTTGTGCATCCTAATCTTATCATACTTCAATCCCGCCAGAATATATTTTTACACTATAGTCGGTATTTCATGCAAAACGCCGAAATTTGCGAAAGATTGATAATCAGTCGCAAACCAGCATTAAATAGGGTTGCAATACTGATCGTCGTGCAGTCTAGGCCCAAGTCATTTCAGTCACGTCAGGAAGCTGGCTTTCTAACGAGCTTCCTTCTGACCGCTTACAAAAAGCATGTTCTGCGAAAGATTCCTACCAGAGTATTGTGAATTAAACTCATTGTTTTTGACTGCCCCTGGTGGCATCTTTAAACGCCATCGAAAGGCAACTTGTGCGATCCGTCTTTAGTAGTATTGTGATCCTAATTGTACTAACCTCGCAATCGGCGTTTGGATATAATGGCTTTTAGGCAGGTTGATGATAATGTTATGCCGAGACCTGGTTGAACATTCCTACATCTGTAGGGGGTCCAACGGTACGCTCAGAAAACTACAACTATCACGCCCAGTACCGTACAAGAAAAGAAAAGAAAAAACTGTGGGAGTTGGACAGAAACTCAGTGGTGATGTGAAGCCCCGAGGCGCAGCAAACTCGAGACCTGCGCGCGCATCTGTCTGCTAGCATGATATGGGCGTGAATGCATAAACCGTATGCGAGAGGGAGTTACTGGGCGCCTGATGAGCTGCTCGGCCAATAGCAGTTTGTGACGCCTGTGATTGGCTGTCCCATAGATCAGGTGAAAAATACAATCACGTAGACTCTCGCACAACGTGGCGCTAGAGTTTGAAGGCGCGATCCTGAACCGAAAGTTAGAATGTGTGATCCGTTTAAAGCAATCATTTCTGGACGATTTCTGTTTTCCTTAGATTTAAAAACAATGGAACTGCGGAGGCGATTACCTGGGAATCTACGATGGCCCTTCAGAATCATCTGTCATGTTGCGCAAGTTATGCGGAGAGGATATATCAGAAAATGTTACCTCAACGACGAACACAATGACGCTGAAATTTGCCACAAATGCTGTTTTTCATAAAAGGGGATTCAAGGCCATATATGGGTTCAGTAAGTGTTTCTGACTTACCCAACACTCCATTTATACCGCAAATGCGATGGTCACTGGACAGCACGAAAGCGCCTTCTAAAGTGTCCGACAGCTATGCAGTCCCTAATACTACCTAAATGGTACTCTACAGGCATACAAGTTGGTCAAGAATGAATGAAAACGTTCGCGTTCCAGGTATTTGCATGGATAAGGAAGAAAGATTGTCGAGCACCGGATCAATTAGTTTATTATCCTAAGCTTTCGAACTCTTAGAGGAGTCCATCGTCAGAGATAAGAAACAGCAATAAAAAGAGGCTAATTAGAGTGGGTGTATACCAAGCAGTTGTCAGGGGTCGTCAGGTAGTAAGAGGTAAGAAGTAGCGATGAAAAAGAAGGGGAAGGAGGAAGTCATAAAGGTATACGTTAATTAACTTTCGGTGATGTTAAGGTTCGTCAGGGCATCAGCAACGAAAATGGCGGCAATTATAGAAGATGTGGGCCAATTAACTGTAACGGACGTCTGGGCATGACTGCACGTGCTTGCGCGAGGCTCTGTACGTCGAAGCCAATTCGATACATCGGTTGGTTAAATTCTCATCCGTGGAACAGGCTTCAATCAATTCTCTGCTCGTCTTGTTTCCGACGTGAGCAAGTACGTTGACGGCCGCGAATTTGAACTCATGGCCTGTTTCATAGGTATGAATTGCAAATTGTGATAATTCGTCGCCTCGTCGTACAGCCAGCTTGCCTGCGATCCAGGCATGCGTTCAGTCTGGCCTGTGTAGTTACAATGACAGCTTAGGCATGGACTGCGATAGATTTCCCCAGATTGTTCATTGGGAGTAAGCCGGTCTTTTATTTTCATTAACCTGCTGCGCATGGTAGATTCGGGTCTGTGTGAAATTCCAACACCTATTCACGCTTTGCCCAGGAGCTCACAACGTGAACCCGCCAGACCGTCACATAGTGACAAGTATGATATGATGAAATGAATCCGAAAAAGCAAAGGGAGACCGGAATGGCCGGAATAGATCGGCGAAACACATACATTCAGAATAGGGGACGTTGACGCGGCTATC